CTGCCCACAGGCTGCTTACTTGAGCAGAGACAACTCTCTCCTCAGGAACATGCAGACTGGGAGCATCGGGCAGGCACTGAACGGGTGTGCTCTCAGTGTCTGCCATGCCCTCAGTCGTTGCCTTGTCAGCCTCCGTGCTGAGCTCAGGCAGCGCCGGGTTGGAGTTTGTCCCATCATCGGTCACCGCGCTGTCACAGTTTGCTGTGCCGTCAGTCGACGCGGTGCCGACTTCAGGGTGTGCCTTGAGCTCACTCGGTGTGGGGTCAGGCTGTGCTATGACCTCAGCCGGTGAGGTCCTGGCCTTTCTACGCCGAATACCCAAGAGTGTCAGAAAGGCCTGCAAGAGAATGGAGAGCAGGGAAGACAGGGATGTGCCATGGTGAGCTCCGACAGCGGTGCCAGGCTGAGCAGGGACAGCAGGCCCAGCCCAGGGGGCCGTGGCTGCAGGTACCTGGGCTGCCCGGCGGAAGCAGCCACGGGCACGGTCCTGCTCTTGTGTCCGGTCCCGTCCTGGATGTGGCAAAGAGTGAGCATGGTCAGAGCTGAGGGGCTGCGGGACAGGCCGGAGAACACAGCCCAGCCCTGCGCTCCACAGGCAGGGCCAGCCCCGGGATGCCCAGTGCATGGAGCTTCCGAGGGAACAGTCTCGGGCCCTCCTACCCTCTCCCTTTCCCTGGCCATGTCCACAGGGGATGGGATGGGAAATTCCCCATCTGGCTGCAGCCACAGGCCCTGTGGCCCAGCTGTGCCACTCACCCTCCTGCAGGGGCTGGGACTGCTCTGCCTCCTCAGGTTGCTGGGATGGGGCAGGCCCAGGGCCTTCCTCCTCATCCTCGTTCACCCAGGCCTGCTTGGGCACGCTGGGAGGTCTCTGCTCCATGCCTCTGTCTGGCTCCATGGCTTCCTGCAGGAGACATGGCACGGAAAAGCTCTGGGTCACCAAGTCCTGCAGTTGTGCCTTGAAGGCTCCTTCAACAGAAGACTTGGGAACTCCCCAGCCCATCAAGTCCCATGGTCTGGCCTCGAGGGCACCTGCCACAGGGACTGAGATGCCTTGGAAAAGCTCCAGTTCACCAAGTCCCAATCTCTGGCCTGGAGGATGCACGTGGAGGGCAGCCAGAAGGAGCGACTTGCCCAGTTTCCCCTGAGAAGTGCTTCCCTTCCCACCACACTGTGCTGGCCTCAAAGGCTGTGGGGGCCCAGCAGACCAGTTTGAGGGCCCACACA